ATAAAGATAATTTTTTTAAAAGTGAATAAAACTTCCAGCAAAGAGGAAAAAAAGAAATATATATTAGATTAATCAGACTTTAATATTTTATTTCATACTAAAAGCTTTAACAGTGTATGCTAAAATACATTATATTGCTAGGCTTATTTTTCCTAGGGGAATGCAAATTTAGTCACCTAGAAATGTTAGTCCCTTAAAATTAGATCTATAACATAAATAAGGGCATTGCTGAACTATTGATTTAAAATTTAAAAATTATTTTCATCTTTTACAGACTAATTTTACCATGATGTTGAATTTAAATAAGTAAAAATGAATTTTCATGAAAATAGGGGTTTGTTCTTAGATGGAGTGTCTGGAAGTAATAAACTCACATGGTTATATATTTTTCCTTATAAAAAAATGTTTACAAAGGACATAACTTTCAGTGGTTTGTCAGTTACACTCCTCATCGACGACGGTGTGGGTAAACATTTTCATAACATGTGAGAAGTGCTCCAAGCCCTTCTGATGGCTCCCTATCTTAAGATAGTTTTAATTTATTTGAATAAGCGATCAATAAAATTAGTAATTTAGAGAATTCCAGAAGCAGTCTTGCAAGCAGCGGCAGTGTGCCCCTCGGAGTGACGCGTCCTGTGCCTACGGGCCGGGGCTCCGGGACCTGCTTCCCCCGCTGGCCGCGCGGTCACTGAGCCGTTCTCAGTGCGCGCCTGAGACACGCTTCACAGCACAGGCGAGACGCAGGAGCCCCAAGAGGGACTGATGCAGGCGGGGGCCGGCCAGTGACCCCTTAAAGGGCTGCATTAAGATCCCGAGGCCATGACTCTGTGTGCGAACACGCAGGCCGCTATTAACCATTTGTCTGAGGGAATTGCTGCCTCGTCAGTTTGTCTATAATCCTGGCAACCGTAACACGCCGCGTCACGTCCTCTTTCGGTGAGTGAAGTGGTCGTCTCCACTCGAAGGAAGATTTCATCCCATACAGCTCTGATTGATTTTGTTCCAAGTATTGTTTTTGCTTCAGTGAAAGATTTCCGAGAAAAACCAAAGACAAGACATTGTCTAGATAAGTCCCCTCTTATTCCTGAACTGGGGCTGATTAATCAAGGAGACTGCACTTCTCTGCCTCACAGAGGATTCTTAGAGAATTAGAACAGAGTCTTGGCGTCAGGTCCGTCCCCTTAACCCTTTGCTATAATCATGTTTATCGTTTTCCTTTCGCTCTGTTCTCAATTACAGAGTTTATGTTCTTGAAGACATTGAGATGCTTGAGTTTCTGGAGAAAAAAACATATTCTGTTTTGAGTTATATGAAGCAATCAACAGGCTCCCATATTTGGCTCACAAATTCATACCAAAATTCATAGGGAAATACTAAAACATGTTTGCTCATCACAGGTGACCCAAAATTTAGTGTCTTACACTGTCTAAACCACATTGTGGGAGTGTTATGATTTAGATTAAACCCACATCTGGCTTTCTATTCTGAAACAAAAAATATATATATAATCGCAACATTATTAGATGACAAAATAATTCTGGACTAAATTTCAATTTGTTGGTATTAATTTAAAAAATTTTATTGACTAAAAACTTTTACATATTAAAATCCCTATTCAATGTAGGACAGTCAATGGTACAGTTGGAGGGTAATATTCTCAGCAAATATTAGGTCTGGGGCAGAGGCTTAATGACAAGTTCTGAGACTGAGGTGACTGGCAGGAGTCCTGTTTTTCAGATGTGACTGCTGATGCACAGGTGGATCGTGTCCTGGGTGGACTCTTCTCTTGAACTGTTTCACTCCTAGGGCACTACCTGAAAATAGAAGTTCGTCTTGGCTAAGGCAGCGTAAAATTTGTTTAGAATTTATCAGCACAGGGATCAAGGACGTAGGTGTGGGGAGGTGAGCTTTCACTCTTTCTGTACCACTGGACTTAAAGGAAATTCGGGAGAAAATGAGACCCAGACATTTTTCTATAATTAGCTTTAAGTCAGTGCTGTTCCTATGACTAACTATAAGCCTGGTCCAAAGCTGGCCTTCGGCAAATAGGCTCTACTGGGAACTTCCAAGCGTTTATTGCCAGAATGCTTACCCCAAGTTCATGGCCAAGTCAGTCCCCTAAGACCCAGTCTAGTCGAGACTCATTATGCTCTAGGGAAGTCCAGGGACTCTGACAGATAGGAATGCACTAAATAGACCTTAAAATATCTGTTCTGGCAATATTCATACTCATGTTTGTTTTTAAAGAAAAAGAGGTTGCCCATTTTGTAGTTCAACTTGCCACACCCTCCTTGACAAGTAGAGATTGTTTTCAACAGGGGAAGAAAATAATTTAGAGATGAAAATTTGACATTACACTATGAATGCAACATATTTTAAATAAATATTTTAATTCTATTGTTGGCATTTACAAGTAGAAAGCATACAGTATGTTACAAATATCAAAATGTGAAAAATATGAACGTTACATAAGTAACAAATGTAAAAAAAGTATTTTCTTACCTTCCCGGAAAGTAAGAAAACTATTCAGCATAGGAAAATATCAGTATCAAAAACACTGCTTAGGTGTAAAAAAAAAAAAAAACAAAAACGGTTTTTACACGGTATTAAAAAATGACCTACAAAATGACAGAAAAGAAAGAAGTGCTGAAATTTGACTTTATATAAATTATAAAAACTGGGTACTTGGGGTAATTGCTAAATGGTCAAGAAGTAAGTCCAATCACAGGCTTTGCTTAGGTCGATTCTTAAAAAATTTAAAAGCATAGAACATTTTTCAATAAATAACTTTCACAAGTGTCTCTGGAGGCGCGGCTGGCGGCCTGACTCCGCAGTAGCAGGTGGCAGTGTTCTGGGACAGAATTGCAGTCGCTTTTTCCTTAGTGGAAGCCTGGTGAGAACAAGACCATCACTGTTTACACACAAAAAAAGATTCAGAAGTTTTAACACAATTTCGTAAGAAAGTTCTAAAGTGCTGAACAAAATGACTTAAGTTTAGTACCCATGGTCGCGTGCGGCGTATTCAAATCTCCAGACATTTCCGAGCAACGCCGAATGTGGAATCTAAGATTCTGAGACGTGTTAATGCTTAGTCTTTCACTCAAGGGTGGGAGGGCTCTTTTCTACACGTTACAAGGACAGGTTCAACCTCACGGGTCTTGCAAGCAAAACAACGTCTCACAACGGCAACAGCACACAAGCCCACTGGGAGCCACGAGTTCATTTCTGCAACGGCATTAATTTTTAAAATCACAAAGCGGACCCCGGTAGGTAAGAAGAACCTCCCCGAAGGCTGCACCCACGTCACTAGTCGCACAGTACGAAGCATGCAGGACACTGAGTCCACCCGAGCGCATTTCGAGCAGAGCTGTCCGGAGCCGGTCAGCGGCACCGTGGTTACTGCTGAAGGCTTTCCTCTGCGGCGTGCCCGCCCTGTGGGCGACCGAGGGCAGCCGGGGCGCTCCTGGCCGCCTCTTGGTCCCCCCGCGGGCACACAGCGCTCACACGTACTGTTCCGCTTCCCCGTCTTTGGGGACCGGCTGACCTGTCCCACTTTTGCTGTCTTCGTTTGCTGCTGCTGCTGCTTTTTCGGGGAGAGAGGCCAAATCTTTAAAAACATCCACATAGTGTCCAAAGCCAGGGCCCCAGTTCAAGAGGTTGTCCCAGTTGAAGCTCCCCGCCTGCTGCCCCAGCTTCAAGGGCAGCGCGCCCTCGGCCCCCGCGGGCGCCTGGGTGCCCCCCGGCGCGCCCTCGGCCCTGCGCCCGTGGTACCTTCGGGGCTTCAGCCTGGCGCCGTAATTGTCTTCGTCGTCCGCGTCCGACTCGTTGACTTGAGATAACTTGGGCATCCTGGAAGTGTAGACCATGGGCTTTTCCCTGTCGTATTCCATCTCCGAGCAGGTGAAGGACTCGTGCGAGTCGCTGTCGGAAGACGACTCCGGGGCGGGGATGCCGTCGGCGGGGTTCCTGGTCCTGGACAGCGGCCTCCGACAGTCCTCTTCCGAGGACGACCTTCCGTGGTCTGCGCTGCAGATGCTGGGGTTCCTGGGCCGCGGGGTGTTCAGCCTCTCCACCTCCTCGATGGACAGTCCCACGGGCGGGGAAGACTCCAGGGGGATCTGCCCAGCCGGCTGCTTCAGGCGGCTCCCCGGCCTGGACCCGTGCGGGGCCAGCGCCTGGGGGCTCTTGCTCCGTCTTCCCAGCCTGGTGGAGCAGCTGAAGATGCCCGGCTGGCAGGGGTCCCCGTGCAGCTCCACCGCGCTCCCGTCCCGCACAGGGAGGTGCAGCTCGCGGGCCGGGCTGTTCCTGTAGAAGGTGGAGGCCTTGGAGAAAGGCGCGGGGCTGTGCCGGGACAGGGGGTTGGGCGTGGGGCAGGCCGAGTGGCTCAGGGAGCTGGTTCTCAAACCCTGGCCATAGGAAGGCTGGTAGGTCAGGCTGCTGGCTCCTAGGGGCATGGGGGACTGCCTCGCAAAGCCCAGGGGGCTGTGCCTCTGGATGGAGAACTTCGGGGTGTGGCTGCGGAACTGCTTGTAGTGCTGGATGATGTCTGCGTCCGAGGGGGCGATGCTGCTGGCGTTGTCGATGTCATAGTGCTCGATCTCCTGCTCCGGGGAGGCCAGGGGCGCGCTGGGGATGGTCTCGGCGTTGTGGGGGATGTCGGTCTCATCGTAGATGAGGTAGGGGTTCTCCCTCTCAATGATGTCTGGCTTGGGGTTCCCTTCCGGCTGCTTCCTCACAGTCATGTCGTCCCCGTAGGGGGGAATGTTGTCTGGGTCGTCAAAGGCGACGTTCTCGCTTCCTTTCTTCTTCTTCTCCTTCGGTTTCTTCTCCTTGGGGTTTTTGGTCTTCTTGCCCCTGCACTGGTTACAGAGGATCAGGCTGAGGACCAGGAGGGCCAGGACCGTGGCACAACTGCCCACGATGGCAGGCACAGCCCACAGAGGCAGGGAGATCTCTTCGGGGCCCTGACTCAGAACACAGACATGCCCTCCGGGGCTTCCGGCTTTGCAGACTCTCCCCTGAGGACAGACGACGCCAAGACAGGCCACCACCGTCTCACAGGTCCTCCCCGTGTGCGACTCCGGGCAGCTGCAGGTGAAGCCCGAGTGCAGGCCTGGCTCGCAGCTGCCGCCGTTCTGGCAGGGGTGGGAGGCGCAGTCCCCAGGGGGCACGCACTTGTAGGCGTACCACTGGTTGATGCACAGCAGGTCGCCCCAGCAGGGGTTGCTGGCGCAGATGTTGGGCCCGCGGCAGCCGATCTTCACCGAGGGATCCGTCTTGGAGATGGAGGCCAAGCTGTGCTTCCCGCTGAAAGGCAGGCTGTCCCCACCGTACAGCATGGACGCGATGCAGCCATCGAAACCTGCGGGCAGAAGGGGCAGGGGGCGGTTTAGAGAAAACCAAAGGCTGATGGAATCTGGTCAAGAGAAGCTTCAGAATCACATCACAGCAGCTGAGAGCCCACCGCCTGGGAGCCATCATCCAGCTCCAAGGCCATACGTCTGTGCCTCTGACCCGCTGGCTAACTTCTTAGCAACATGGGGAAGATTTCCACCACCAAACTGGGGGGAGGAGCGCTCAGATCCCTCCCACCCTTCCCGACCATTTACGAATGACTCAGACAGGCTGGGTTTGCTTTTTCTCTGTCTTTTTATTTCATTAGTTATCTATTTGTTTTATTTTTATAGTCTATATGTCAAGAACTGCATACATAGAAATAAAACTTAAGTTCTCATCAAGAACACAAAATAGGCCAGAGGCTTCCATCACTAGATCTGCTTTCTCAAGGGAGATGATATTGCTCCCAAGGAGTTGAGCATAGGTCTTGGGGAGCAAAAGAAAAACCTTAGCAATTACAGTGGTTTGTGGGTCTTGAAAGGGCAGCTATAGAGTATAACTCTGTATTTCATGAGGTGGGGATAGTGGGGGTTAGAAAAAAAGATCTAAAGTGGCTCCTTAGAGGGTGATGGTTATTTTTTTAAGAAGTTGACACTTTGTTAGACCAGTGTGTGCTTATATTGCTAATGCTCCTATCCCAGAGCCCGGGACTCTGCCACTAACAAAATGCGTGATTTACATTGAGTTGTTTTCCTAAGAGTTAACATCCACATTCTCAAATAAGCTAAATATAAATGACTTATGACCTGGACTTGAACTTTGATGCCCTAGCTCCATTCCTCTCCCATGCATTTTTCAATTTTCCTCTTACTGATGCATCGTTCCATCCCAGTGACCTTTCCATCCCCAATCCTCTTTTTTCCATGAGCTGTGGCATCTCCTACATTTGCTCCTACTCTCCCAGTTTTCTTTCTATGGCATAGGCTCCTGTCTTTCTCATTCAATCACAGTCATACCCAGTACTTCAGTTACCCGCTCGACACTGATAACTCCTACTACGCGTTTCCAGCGGAAGTCCACTCCTGAGTCTAGTCCATCTACCAAAAGGTCTTTCTCAAAGGTGCTCCACAACCAAAATCTTGATGCTTCCCATAGACCTGTTTCTTCTTGGACTGCTCTGTTCTGCACTTGCCTTTCTCAGTGGCACTACCCTGCTTCTAGTGGAAAAGTCAGGAACTTCCCTGAATTTTACCAAAATCACCAGCAGTTTGGTTGACTTCAATTTTTTAAAGTACTTCTCCTCTGCCACCACAGGAGCCAAAGTTCACACAATACCGTGCCTGCATCGCTGCGGTGTCTTCCCAGCTAATTCATGCGAGGTCGCCGGTGCCCTCCTCTAATGCATTCTCCATGGCGGAGCCTGAAAGATCTTCTGACATCACTGGACATGCCTAAGACTAATTTTTCAGTAACTCCTCACTGTTCTGAAAATAAGACCAAGACTGTATCATGGTCTACGAGGCCCTGCTTCATTCTCCAACTTCATCCTTAACTTTTGACATCAGCTCCCAAGGTGCTTGGTTCTGTCTACTTTTTGTTTTTAGCTCCTATCAAAGAGATTGCCCAAGAGAGGAGAAAGGGAAACTTTCCTGGAAAATGGACATTTGTACTTAAATCTGACCTTTCTTGGGCAATCTCTTAGAATTCTATGTTCTTCCTTCACATCATTTGTTGTAGCTCAAAAATAATATATTTACTTGTATAATGATTTGATTAATGTTTGTCTCTCTTACTGGGCCTTGTGTTCTATGAGGAAAATACTTATTAAGTTCACCACTGCACTCCCAGTGCCCATACAGGGCCCAGAAATATGTTGTGTGAATGAACAAATGAATAAATGTATAAATAAATGCTTGGTGGACATGGGAAAAAGCACCATGGGCTGAACTGTGACTTGGCAGAACAAACGCAAACGCCCAAAGTAAGGGATGGCCAATAATTCATTATAAACTTCCTAAAGATAGTTATGACAGTCTTAGAATATTCATAATAGGAATTGTCAGAAATCCAACTACTTCTAGAAAAACAACTTTACCTTTCCTTTGTGACTACCCAACACAAGCATTTACCTGTTTGAGTATCTCGATGAGCTTGATTGGGTGGAATTCCTCCAAGGGATATAGTGAGCACATCGAGTCCACCAAAATCCTGAGTAGGGTGGACGATATCCCTGTTGTATATCCTGTCGATCGACAGTACTGTGGCTGTTCCGTTTTTTCCGATTAGAAAAGTGTGCCAGTGGCCATCGGCAACATACACTTCAGGAATATTTCTCTCCACTTTCCCAGCAATTCCTGCATCTGATGTAAAATGTACTTTGCCATTCTTAATCTATAAACATATTAAAATAATGTACAATTAAACTATAATATACTTGAATAAAAATGAAATAAAACCGTAAGATGTTGATCAACTTAAGCAGATAGAATAGCTGAAGAGACTAGCTATATTATACTTAACCATTTACGTCTGATTTTGGGTAACAATATACCTTCACATTCAACAGTTTCAATAGTTTTCAAGGTGCTATTGTATTTGTACCTAATGATTCAAGATGCATAGAATTATCTTCCAAAACACAATTGAGATAATCGGGTGAATGTCCCTTTAAGATAAGTAAATTAAAACTATTTTGTGATTTATAATTTTTTTAAAATTTGTTTTTAATTTTAGAGAGAAGGAAAAGGGATAGAGAAACATCGATGGCTGCCTCCTGCACATGTTCCGACCCAGGGATTGAACTTGCAACCTGGGTATGTGCCCTGACCAGGAATCGAACAGGCAACCTTTTGATTCACGGTACAACGCTCAACCAACTGAGCAACACCGGCCAGGGCATGATTGCCTATAATTTAACGGCAATGGTGAGTGTAAAAAAAAATTGGACAGTTTAGCAAATGGCCCATAATGGTCAAAAACATTAAAGCTACTTGCAAAAAATATATCAATGCTTAGATAAAAATGAAGCATAGTTGGAAAAATAAAGACAAAAATTGTTTTACCTGTCATCTATAACACACTGGAGTCTTACCAAAAAATCACGTCTATTATTTACATCAGTTATTGAGATTAAAAAACAACTATGATGAATAAAGGGTGAGTTCTTAATAATGAGGTGTCTGGGCAAGTCTGCACTTTGGCTCTCTCCCAGTCTATCTAAGGGATATTTGGTTTCTGTTACTTCGCCCAGTAGACCATTGGGTAACAGGATGCTCCTACTCCCATTTCCAACTACCAAGTTTCCAGTATTCTGAGGAGACACTTTAGAAAATAAAATAATTTATGAGGCAGATGAACATTTGGTTCAGAGAGCATCATCCCATCAGACTCCCAGACAGAGCTGGTGCCGGCAGGGGGATGAAGTGACACTGTGTCTCAAATGACAGGCATGAAAGGATGGATCAGTTTATGTTGTCACTCAGATCAAATGCCATTTCTCCATGCAACAAACACATCTGGTAGAACTAAAAATCAGTACATCTGTACTGTGGAAAATATGCCTAACACATTTACATATGTTATTCATATTGTAATATTTTATTAAAGCAGTCTCTCTAGATAATAAATTTCAGTACCAAACTCAGATAGAAAAAAAAGAGAGTTGTGGTTAAATGACAATAACATTTCATCAAATGGGCAGCGTCTCATGACATGTGGTAAAAACAGCAACTCGTCTTTGGTTATAGCCAGAGTCCTGTTTGGAAACAAGCCTTGGGAAGAGCCCTCTCCCAGCTCTGTGCCGCTCGCCTGATGGTTTTATCTGAAGAGGGAGGCTTTGGAATATACCACGGAGTGGATTCAGTAAGAACATTCTTAACGGTTTCCTTTTCCCTAGTAACACTACCGAACGCCTGTGTTCTTTTTAACTTTCTAAACATCATGCTAATGTTTTGCTTTGTTCATTTTTCTAATCTACAGAGCTCTGAATCCCTCGTCCCAAGTCTGTGCCATATACCTAAGCCTCACTTTAAAACAAAAACGAAGAAACCGGTGAGCTATGCACCAAACCGCAGACCTGACTGGAGCGGGTCTGTCATCGCTTCGTGCAGAACTCCAACGCGCGACACAGCGCGAAGGTAGGGAGGCCTGGGGACATGTCAGAGTCCACGCTGTGCAGGAGCGTGCTTTCCTCTGCTTTTGTCTCTCAGATGGGCCTGCCCTCGTTTCTGTATCCACAGACCCTGTTGACAGTCTCACCTCTTCCCACACTGCCATCGCTACCCACCATGGTGCTCTCCCCCCACCGTACACAATCCCGTTGCCCATTTTTATTCCATTTTCACAAAACGTATGTATGAGAGGGAGAGAGGAAAAAAAAATTGACTGATTTAGAGTATGCAAACAAAACCCCAACAAAACTGTCAGAAAGAGAGCCAAAAGAAGGAAGCCAGCCAGGGGCCTTGGCCGCTGATACGCTGGCCGATAAGGAACAGTCCCCTGGGCCCGCGCCCCGTATTCCTGTGGCCCGGAGTGCCTGCCTGCCCCCCCTTCCTGTCCATCGAGTTCTCTCCACTCACTGCTTCTGGTGGTGGTGTTTTTAATCTGCTTATTTCGCCTGCCCAGCCCCTTTAATCTCTGAAAAGATGCTTTTCAAAATTCGATGCAAAACAAATGTGCCTTTTGGTCTCCTCAGTCGTCCTTTTTATTCGCAGCGCCCGCTGCCCTTCTCTCCGAGGCGCTCGCCGCCCGCGCCACCCCGAGTGGCCTGCTGCGGGCTGTGGGCAACAGGCCTCACGGGGACAAACGGATGCTGACATTCGGCCTCTCCCTCCAGGAAGAAAAAATTCCGCCTTGATGTCTTGGCTTGAGGAGAGACTACAGTGTTTCACGCGTCATTTAAGTGGCATGAGGACCTGGGAGCAGCTTCCCAGGCGGCGCACATCAGGCCCTGCCCGTGTGCCGCGGGGTCTACTTCTCTCCGCTGCTTGATTTTCTCGGCTTCTAACACCTTTCAATGAAAATGACGAACACCGACTAATAACATGACGCAGTGGCTTACGTGCTGTTTTGTAGTTGCGCTGTTAATTCAGGGATTGGCTTTTTGTTTCCATAGTGGAGGTGCAGTTATAGGCTAAAGAGGTTCTCTAGGCCGGGATTAGGGCAGTTTCTCAGGCTGGCACTATGGTCACTTCAGACTATTGAATAATAATTTTTCTGTGGGGTGCTGTGTGGTGCACTGTAGGATGTTTAGAGATATACCACCCCTCCCCAAACCATGACAGTGAAAAATGTCTCTGGACATTGCAAGTGTCCATTCAGGGTAACATCACCCTCTAGTTGGGTGACTAGACTGGGGGGATTATAATATGAGAATTTTTAGAAGACTGGTATTTTTTACTTCTTATTAAAGCTATGTATATAGAACATAACCAGAGTTGGCTTGGATAAAAAGAAATTTTGAGAATAAAGAGGCTGAAGTTTAAAGGTGAACATCTGTTTTTACTTTTAGTAAAAAGTGAATTAAACCTAGCACTTTTCTATGCATTTCGCTCTTTGCTTGATTAACTAAACTTTTAGTAATTTTCAAAATATTACTTTATAGGTAGAAAAAGTCAGGAAATTTGGGTTTATTTTCTTAAAGAATTTACCAAAACTCATAAAATTGAGTAGAATCATAATATATTGACTGCTTTCTACATTATTTTGTATAACTAAACTGAAGAAAATTATTATCCAAGAGATGTATTATTTGTGGGATAGAAAGCAGAATAATAGTTTCAGAAATAAAGACTGCTGAGCAGATGGAAAATGCATGTTGAATAAAATTACCAGCGTAGTGTCTCAATTACAGCTGAGAAAAAAAATAACAAATTATATAAAAGCCTAATAGTACATAAATCTACCGTTTTCCTGAAATATGATATTTAAAATTTATTTAGAAACGATTTGTAGAATTTAGCTGTAATTTTACTTATAATTCCAAAGACACTTCATTTCACAGGGTTTACCTAGATAGTAAATTGAATATATGCTCCAGGGTTAAAGCTAGATAATTTCAAATGTTTCTTATTCCATTCCTGCCCTTTAATATACAGGGTGGGGCAAAGGTAGGTTTACAGTTGTGTACATGAAACAGTGTATTCTTGTATTTATTTATTATTGTATTAGTTTCCATACAAACAACTGTAAACCTACTTTTGCCCCACCCTGTATCAGTGTTTGAAATAATTCTTGGAGAAAAGTATTTTTCCATTTCAAAGACACATTATCATTTTGTTTTCCTTTGTTTAGAAGTAGGGAGGGGGAGCAATATAAATTTTTATCAGACAAAATAGATCACAACAAATTCTTTCCATGCCGGCCTACCTAGCAGTGGTCTCAACTCTAAACCAACACAAAAGTGTTTAGAAACCAAACCCTGCAGGTCTTTGTTACTCTGGCCAGTGCCTGGGAAATGGTTAAGATAGATGATATTGGAATGGTGCCCAGCATCAGTCGGAACCCTAACGGGCTGTAAAAGCAAAGGACAGGAATTGTGGGAGAAGTGATTTAAACCCTGACGCAGCAGGCGGTCTACTCGAATGAAGTCAGCATTAGCTTTTATCTTACCTTCACAGTAGTGTAATTGCTGCTTTCTTGGATATGGATTAAAATGCCATTCTCGCTTCTTGTCCTGAATTTCACTTCCAGGCTGTTCACGCCGAAAGGCTCCACCGTGGCACCGCGGAGGCTCTGCCGCAGCAGGTACTCCCGCTTCTGGTTCTGACTCATGTGGTAGTCCAGGCGCCCTCTGCCTTCCAAGGACAAGGCCGTGTCGGGAGTGAGAGCTGCGGGCCAGCAGAGGGGACAATGAGTGCACCGTGATTTCTTAGAGTGTCTATCGGTGACAAAACATTACTAAAAGGGGCAAGGAAAATATTAGGTTCTTAGAATTAATGTCTCCCAATTCTCCTATTGAAAACATAATTCCATGTGTGAATTATTATGTGAGTTGATTTCCAATGCTTAAATCCACTTCAGAACTATGAAATGTAAAACTTTTTATGGCAGGCGTTAATCATTTGGGAAATGATACTTGATATAAATTATGAATATCTGAAGAGATAGCCACCTGTTAAAATCTGGGGGAAACGCAGTGAATTATTATTTGTTTATAATGGTTCCCTGATTCCAAAATTCATAAATGAATATATGTGTTCATAGTTAAAGTGATTTGCAATCTTTAAAGTCTCTAGCAATTAGAAATTTGAAGAAAAAGTTATATAATCATGTATTTATATTTGTAGCTAACTTTATGATTAGTAATAATCATGTAGAATTTAATTTTTCATCACGTATAATTATGATTTATCATAATTTGACAAAATTTCCACACTACTGAAGTATGGAAGTTTGTTATAGCACTACAGCTAAAGAAAAGACATCAAATGAGCACAAAAGGGCTTCAGCATTAAATGGTACACTTTAAAAACGCAAACTTTATAGTACGTAAATATGTTTTTAAAACCACACATTTCTAAAGCCAATGACTCATTTCATATTCCAGATATAATTGGGTTCCTACTTATTAAATACTCATTACTTTAAAAAAAGTGTGTCAAAGTGCTTTTTCTGTTTTGATTGTATCTTAAATGAGCACAATTTTACCTCTGCTACTAACATTTTATTTTAGCATCCTTCATTCTCATATTATAATAGAACTAAATGACTCTGAAAAAGTAGTCATTAAATGCAGTGATTTAAGTACTAACCACTTATTTGCGAATGAAGCAATTTTTATAAAAAAGCCCATTAGGGTTANGAAAAAGTAGTCATTAAATGCAGTGATTTAAGTACTAACCACTTATTTGCAAATGAAGCAATTTTTATAAAAAGCCCATTAGGGTTGGATGGTGAGAGAATGCCACAGTCTAATGATGGCTGGAACATCATTAATGTCTTAACAGTAGCATTAGGGTTTAGAAAAATAAAATAAAAGGATTTAAAAAGTAATATTCAAAACCAATTCTAATCATTGAAAGTTAAAATTCAAGTATCATTTTAATTATAATAGGTTATAATGCATCGTATGATGTTTTGTGCTCCGTGTTGAGTGATTTATCATTTACACCTTTCTACCAAATACAAAATATTCACCAGAGAAGTATAACCTGAAGGCAGATACTAATATGAAGCCCCTGGCCTTGTAAACTGCCTCGCATTCCTAAAGGTAAACCAAAAATGTGACACATTTATAAAATGGAAACTAATGACGTATTTAGTAAATAATTCTACAAGGATACCACTCTTTCTTGAGTTCAAAATATAAATTTTTAAATGTCACTATATTTCACCAGTGAGTACCCATTTAATATTTTCAATATTTAGAATGGAAACAATGTAATTCCATACTTAGGCACGCATATCTATACTTGTCATGGTTACTAGAATGTCCGGCGGAAGGGGCGACGCTCACGTACATTTTTCACAGTATTTGCCCGTCAGTCCATCCGTGCAGTGACACTGCTGCCACGACCAGTAATCCGTGCACGTGCCGCCGTGCTGGCAGGGGCTGCGAGTGCAAGCGCCTTCCAGTCGGGGGCACCTGAAACCAAGTCACAACAGAGACTCAGAAAACAGAACAACGTGGGGGGAACCGTGTTTAAATGAAAGACAAATGAAAGACAAATGGTGCCCTGGGCGGTCTGGCCCAGTGGTTAGAGTCGGCCCAGCGACACCCCGAGAGCGGTTTGGGCGTGGAGGCCCCTGCGGGACAGGGCCCGGTCCTTGCGGGAGCAGGGAGAGGTCATTCACAGCCGGCTACAAGCTGTGCTGCAGGAGACGTGGGCGACGCGGAGCAAGAGTTTGGGGTTTTCTTTTGATTGCTTCAATTTTCTGAACTTTGGAAGCACATTCATTAGCTGAGCAAAGGATGCTGGGGATGGCTGAGGTCTGGAAAGAGGAGGCATGATCTAGTCGCTGAAGAGAGTGTGAAAATGATCAGCCTCGGGGAACATAACATATGGCCACACTGGAGGTCAGGAACTAGGAATTTCAAGAGGCTACGAACTCCTCAGGACCAAGTATCTGCTTGGTCCTTTGTTTTGCTCAATTTTCAAATTTTCAATATAAATTAATTTTTAAAATAAAATGTTATTTTTACAATTCCTAAATCATTGTTAAGAACCTAACCAATAATCAGCTAGGGAAAAAAACTGTTTTACTGTGTGCAATTAATCCAATTATTACCTGTTAAAGATGTATCAAATTTTGCAGAATATATAGGCTTACATGTAAAGCTTTAATTTCAAGTAGGTTTTTGTATACACTATTGCTAACACTTATGCATCATGATGTGCCAGTTCCCTTTCTATGAGATTTAACTACTTAACATATCTTTACCATAGCTCTGTAAGGTAGAGTATATACATACATACATACATACATGCATACGTGTGTTTTTTCTTAGACTCCAGAAAATAAGAATTAACTTTCTAATCAAATATTACATGCAATGTCAAACAAAATTTCACAGCTATGAATAAATATTTAAAATTCAAAAAAATGTAAAACGTTTGGTATTTTTAGGGTTTTGGACACAATTTCACCATCTGATGGTCAATTATCATACACTTTTTGCATTTTCTTTAGAAGAGTAAGAAATAAAATTGCCATACTGGTCTAGGATGCCTTGTGCGGCCAGAGCCTGGCTGGGTTCCAGAGGCCTCCCATTCACTGCAAACTCCATGATGCACCCGACGAAGTCGTGGCTTTCCACGTGTCCTCTCCTCTGAAGAACTGGGTCCAGGGATCTGATACCTCCGACTGTGACTCGATTTGGCTGAACATCAAGAGTCCTCCATAAGAGAGAAAAGCACATTAGTATTGACATGATAGATTTCAGTAGAATGTTTCATTTAAGGAAGAGTGAAGATAACTTCCTGGCACGTGTTATAGCATGGGGCATTTGAGGGGCAGCGCTACCTCTGAAGGACTCCACCAGACGGATACCTACAGGATTATTTACGGTCTGAAGAATAAAACTTATGGAGATGGTATTTTCATTTAGTCAAATAGGATGTATATAACAATGCTGAATTAGGAAGGAGCACACTATCAGAAGATAAAACGCATTTGGAGTGGTGACCACTCTAATGACATTACGGTTCCCCTTCACTGCAAAGATAAGGAATGCCAGGGGTATTACTGCAATGGATTATGTGCCACTGTTTATTTTTCCATTTGTTACTATTTCTACTAAAATTACTGTTTTCGATGGGGTACTGCTATGTTCCAGTTTGAAGTGCTACTGAAAAATATCTGGCAGTACTTGTCACATACAACGTTCAGAGAATGTTTAAAAGGGGAGGGGTCCTTGTCCTTATCCTAGCCTTGCAGCACCCAAGTCACATGCACCCATTTCAGGAAGCTTCTCACAGGACAGGCTATGCTCACCTCCCCTTTCTGGAGCTGTATTCTCATCACTACCACTTCATTTCGCACCTTTTTTCGTTACACATTTTGTACAGGAATTATTAGCTTTAATGTCAAGTAGTAACAAAGATCAAGCTAATAGTTTTACTTACCAGTCATCTGAGATGGCCACGTTACTGACAGTGCAGTACCCTGGTTCTTGGTCCTCGGAACAGGAGTCCACAGTTAAGGAGGCTGCCTGCACAGCAAGAGAAGAAATGGTCACTGGGGTTCTACGACCCCTTTTGTCATTTTCAGCCAATCCACCCAGGCTGGTTTCTATGTGGACGTGATTTTGAAATTGTGATAACATTTTGATTTAGTATGATAAATACAATAGTAAATTATGGACACATATTTCTTTGATATGTCTAAATCTAAAATTGTGAAGGAATTAAGGTGTGGGAAGGTGCTTTGAAAAATCTTCTCCAGCCCCCTTGTTTTATAGATGAAAGAATCAAAATGCTATTAACGTCTCTTAGAATATTATACAGTGTGTCTGAGACAGCTTCCTGGGGTTACAATTATAATAAACCTGCTTATTCTATTAGCCAGCTGGTCTAACAAATGGAAAAAAACCCATTAGATTTCTGATTTTCAAAAGTCGTCTTCCAATAATAATTCATGCATATATACAAAAAGATTTTGAAAATACAATGTAAATATTACAGCAACCTATGAAGATTATACTTGCATTAGAAATTTATACATTCTAATGTATAAATGCTGAATCATTTATAAACAGCATATTACAGCATATCTATATATAATCAGAGTTTATTATTATATATTGCTCTACAGTAGAAACTCCCCAATAATATTTAAATCACAATTAATATTCGCTGTTTTTGCATCCAAAGGGATGAATTACCCCAAGACAAAGCTTTCTATCTAGGAGAACATATGAATACTCCATGTGATCAATAAACAAAGTCATCAAGTCATGGTCACAAAGCCTCTAAATTGTGCAAATGGCAACTGGGATTGTCTGCAGTCCATTTGAGACCAAGGTTTTTGCTTATCCATGTTAGTCTAGCTCTACAATGCAGGTGTGATGCCTCTCCTGTGCCCCCCAAGCTGCAGAAAGTTCTGCAAATGACAAAGCTTTGCATGTTTTATTTGGTGAAATTATAAGGATGATATTCAGAGTGTGGTATCTCAGAATACGGTAAGTTGCAAGAAGAGGCATAACCCCAAATCTAGTAGGACTGAGGGTTTCTCCCAATGCAAACAACAAAGGTTCTACCTAAATTTATTTGAGTACCGGAGACCAGGACTAACCCAGCTTTGTCCCTTTGTATAAATACAGTTGACCTCTGAACAGTGCAAGGGGTGCCGACTCCCATAAGGTCGAAAATCCGTGTATAACTTTTGACTCTCGAAAACAAAAGTCGTCCCTCAGTATCTGGGGGGGTTAATTCAGGACCCCCATGGATACCAAAATAGGCGGATGTGCCCTATATCAAATGGCACAGACCAACGGGTACTGTGACCCTCTGCATACCTCAAACAGAACAGGATATTTAGTGGAAATATCCATGTATAAGTGGACCCACACAGTTCAAACCTGTGGTGTTCAAGGGCCAACTGTCTACACAAGTATAAACTTATAAGAATGGGTATCAGTTGAGGTTAATTTCAATAAAAGCAGAGCAAGTATAAGAAACAGCACAGGGAGGTCATGCAGGTTGACCAACATTACCTGTTACCTACATGCAAAAATATCTATCTGGGTTTCCGTCTTTCTGAATCAGGTCACTTTCATTATATATTGAAATTATTCATTTTTTAATATTCCATTTTCAACAATACTGCATATGACTTTGAGGAACTGTCCATAAAAATGTATACTTAGATGGGAGATTTGTAAAAGGTATATCTTAAATACCTTACATTTCAGAAATAATGAATGGAGTCAATATATAGTTATTGTGCATCAAATATTACTGGCTAATGTATTTTAAATTATTTCCATCAGTTAATTATTATAACTTATTATAAGCTCCATACAATGAACTCTCATGAGCCATGTAAATTTTTTTCTTGCCACCTTCTCAAGGAAATTGTAATAAATACATTTTTAGGAAACATTTACACTTACAATTCTATGTCATGATTTTTTTCAGTGCCCCACTTAGCTAACTCTTTTAATATTTTTTTCCAGTGCTCTATAACATTGAGTGATATTAATCTCAAAGGCAGTATTAGGGTTTCATAATACAATTTATGTTGCTTATGTAGGCTATTTGATTTATTTCTAAAAGAAACTGTTAACACATCTATCTCTCTGTTTATAAGATGCAGAGCATTCATTCTAGAGATCCCTAAGGCAATAATAAACTCGGGAGATTCGCATGCATATTTATGAATGCATCGGCTAGAAAAAAACAACTTAGATAGTGGTATCACATTTTAGTCAAACTTAATATTTAATACATTTTTTCTTATTTTCTACAAGTTCGCTGGTACAACTCAAAGAAATATACCTGAGGGAAAGTTTTACTTGAATAGTAGCTCATGTAATTTAATCTTCAGAGTTAAATGCACCTTCTTAATTGTTGAATTTTTCTACCACTACCACTGTGAATTGAGAAGTTTCTATCCTGGCAACGAAATGATTCAAAGCTGAGAAGTTAATGATTTTGCCAGTTTCCAACAAAATCCTTCTGAACTGTAGAAAACAGATTCAAAACCCTGTAGAGGCCTTATTTTGGATGTTTTCTGAAATAAGGAGAGACTTTTCCTCTGACTGAAAGAGCAGTGACATTTCTTCAAAAGCTGATGGCTCTGGCTACATGTTACAAACACTGAAAGAATTCTTTACCCCTTGGGGCATACCCCGCAGTACCTTTTTCTTTGTTCTCTCTCTTGCTCCCAAGCCCTTCTGTGATAGAATCAAAATGTTCATGAAGTTGAAAGGGAACCTGGAGGTCAGCAGGCAAAATCATCTACCCCACATTAGACTCCACCATCATCTTAGCTACAGAGTTATCTTCCATATGCTCTGAGAATGGGGATGAAGGGGTCCCCCTCCCCCATTGGGGTCACCTGTTAGTGCAGGCCACCCTCAGTGCCTTACCATTCCAGCTCTGCGGGCAATCACGGTGTGGAAGTGCCCGTCCGACACCTTCTTCATGGTGGTGAGCTTGTAGGTGCCGCTGCCTAAGTTGTAAGAGAATCTTAGTCTTTCTTCAGCAATTTCAAGGGCCAAAAATTCAGCCCGGTCCCCTGTCTGGTTGTCATAGTTGTAAAGCAATAAAGCATGACTTTTGATCGTTGCAAACTTGACATAAATATAGTTGTTATTGGGGTCCAAGCTGGGAAATTCCATGTATGATAACTCCTCAAATCCATAGCTATTCAACTCGCAGTGTTTTCCAAAGACACCTGGAGGTGGGAAAATGGACAAATAGACACATCAAATTCTAGTGAAGTTTTGTTTGTTTTTTTAAATGTATCTTTATTGACTTCAGAGAGAGGAAAGGAGAGGGAGAGAGAGAGACAGAAACATCAATGATGAGAGAGTCATTGATCGGCTGCAGCCCGCAACCCGGGCATGTGCCCTGACCAGGAATCGAACCCCGATCGCCTGGATCCCAGGTCGACACTTAACCGCTGAGCCACGCCCGGCCGGGTGTCTAGTGAAGTTTTATTAAATGACTTTGATTAAGATGCAAAAATTAGTCACACAACACTTTTATTTCCAAATACTATCTAAATTAAATTGAAAAAGAATGAATTGATGATCTTTAAAACATATAACAGAGATGATAAACTGGTTTAATTGCTTTTCTTTGGCCAATTAGGAAATGTATCTAAGTATGCCCCATTTCTAAAAAATTAGAATTAGTGGAATGAAGTATGTCTGAAAAGCTTTCTTTGCTGGAAAATTTTCAAAATTGGTCAATCTTTTTAAAGTTTTAATATTCTGTAATTTTCAAACAAGATACTTCATTTATAACATATAATTATTTTTCTTCCTGCCTCATAAATTCTTAAAAACAATTTTAATTTAATTGAGCACGGTAAATTTTGTTTTGACTTAAAAAAAAATCAGTCTTTCTATTTGTGGTATTTTCAAGAATCAGAAAATTAGGGAAGGGAATAACTGCTTTTAGAGAAATAACTGTCTTAGTTTTTATCTCTTTCTTGTTTCATACCCACTTTGGGTATGATTTATACCAGGCTACTTGGAAATAGCTTTCTGTTTTCCAAAATCCAGCATTCTCATTTGTTTGTGCTGGTTCTTTTTCAAACTTGAAAAATGAGTTTTATTGATGTTACAATGCCATGCCAAAATTCTTTTCCCACAAATATTAGTAGACTGTAGCAAATGATTGGAAAATTAACCCATGCCAATACATCATAACTCTTATTAACTTGCAAAGGTTTCACTCCTTAATTTTGGCTGCACATCTCTTGTAAATGCGTTGCATTTAGAGTCAGGGAGTTGTTCAGCCAGAAGGAACCAATGCCATCATTTTACAAAATATTTAAAAACTGCCCAAGGCCACAGAACCATGGGATTCAGAGCCAACATTGGAGGCCAGATCTACTGATTGTCTAGTTGTTTATCCAAATGTTCTTTAAGTTAAAACAGCCTAGTAGCTGCTATAAAAGTGTGTGTCTACTACCTTTTCTGCTTCTGTAAGGCGAAATCATATCAATTGTAATGAGTACAAATATATATAATTTCTTTTTAATCATTAACTGAAGTTAAAAAAAAATTATTGGAATTGTATATTATAAATCATATATATGGCATACATTTATATCATAAATATATCATATAGTATTTATATTGTGTGTTATATTTATATACAACAAGATTTTAGTTTATTTTTTTAATGTGTTTTTATTGATTTTAGAGAGAGAGGAAGGGAGAAGAAGAGAGAAATAGAAACATCATCTATTGGCTGCCTCCTGCAGGCCCCCTACAGGGGACTGGCCAAAACCCAGGCAGGTACCCTGACCAGGAATCAAACCAGCAACCTCTTGGTGCATGGGTAGATGCTCAACCACTGAGCAACACTGTCAGGCAATAAGACTTTAAAATTTATTTATATTAAACATTTATTATATATACCTTACATATGCAGGAGTAACCAAAATTAAAAAGCAAAGCTGAAGCATACAAATTAAATAGGTTATTGCATAAAAATCTTCACTATGTGTCTCCTCAGGTCTCTTCCAATTAAATTTTAATAAATCTATGGAAATGTGCTTAGAATTGTATATTTATATATGTAAAAAGTATACAGATCCCAGGAAGATGTTCTACATTTTAACTGAAGTCAATACTATATATTCAAACATAAAAACATATCCTTATGGAATATCTTTTTTTTCTTTTTAAAGAGTTTTGTTATTATTTCTAGAGAAAAGTAAATTTCTGTTTTTAAAATAAAATAAAATTTAATGAGGATTTTAAAACTGCCCTCCAACTGAAATGCCACAAAAACCTACATAAAAGTCAGGAGAAATTATTAAAATTACTCTAATATGGAATATTACGTGTGTGTGTATATGAAATTATACATATATACATTTACACAGGCTCTTTTTATAAAAGTCTTACACATTTTTTTTTTTCCCTAAAATATAATCTTAAAAAAATCTAAAATTAAAAAAAAAAAAATCAAATCCAAACAAATCTTTCACTGTTGAGAAGGTAAACAGTGCCAAGTTTTTTCCAACTTCAAAATTATGGTTAAGATGTTCTATAGGATGCAAGTGTAACTACCCCCAGCTATTTGTTTGAGAATTTCCATCTGCCATGTTTATTTGTGTGTTTCACCTACATTCAATTTGAAAAGGAAAATACTTTTTCCTTCAAATTCTGTCTAAAATCATGTATTACTGCTTCAAAGTGTTTTGTTTTGTAAGTACTTCTGTTGTCTGACAATATCTAAGTTTAATTTTTTTGTCTTTGCACACTGTTAGGAACAGGGAGAGAAATTTGTACTGCCAGCCACATATGATCCGTCTCTATTTTAATTTATGTGGTTGTGCTGGTTCCCACTCCCTGGGGAGCTCTAGTAGGGTGAGGACCCCGAAATACTTCCACCCGATAGGCAATGATTGTTGTATCAGCTACACCACAGCAACAATTTGTTCCGATTTACTATCAATTATCTTAAATCCTCGTATTTGCAATTGGTATGCAAAGGAACCTCTAAAAATGTAAACAACCTTTGTTCAGTTACTTGAAATCATTTTTCCACTTTCCACTCTAATCCCCTTATCTTTTATTCCAAAACTTAAGTTAAACCATGAAACCTGGTTGTGGTTATGTGCAGAAAGCAGCACCCTTTGGGATTATAAGATATCACTGAAAGAAAGAAGTTGTAGGAGATCTAAAGTTGTGGTCATTTTGACCTTGATCTACCTTTCTCTGTTTCATGAGCCTTGTTTGGGATAATCTCAAATAAATTTGAAAAAGGAGGGATACTGTGAATGCCATACTGGGCTGAAAATAAAACTTTCTAGTCGCTACATCAGCTTGGGGTAGTTTGGTCTTGTTTTCATATTTTGCCTTTAGACAAAACCCTCAATGTCTGAGCCTCAGAACCATTGGTAAAATGCATGGCTCACAGTGAGATATTTTTATATTCTGTTTTTCATTATCATTTTATTGCTGTGCTTTACAGAAACAAAACTAGATGGAGTCATGGACTTATTTGAAAATGAATTAACAGTACATTTCACTGGTTACTAGAAACCTCAGATTATTTTTAAGTTCTATTCTCTACTCTACATTAAGATTCACTTTTCAGGTCCACAGCAATATGTCCAAGGAAAGACCAGAACAATGTCCTTCCCCTCTTTTGCTTGTAGAGGGTCTCTAACTCCTGCAGGGCATCTGGAGATGAATACTACAGTGTGGGCCAAGTCAGTCTTTAAGTTAGTGGAATGATCACAAACCTATGAGACAAACCAAGTTCAAATGAAAGCTTCCTGCAAAGCTTTTCTCGTAGTCTTTGGCTGTCTCAGGGCTGGGAAACATGTGAGTGACACCTGGAAGGGATCTTTTAGTTCACTTCACTAAGGTGAATATATATGCATGTGTACAAAAAAACTGTAACAACTCTCTTCCTCAGAAGAACACGTTGGCCTGAATTTTGATTAGTTATGTTGCTACTATCCACAAAAAGTTCATCACAAAAACTGCCTGATGAGTTGCTAAATCCTTCTAACACAAGTGTCTGAATTAATGTAGGAAACAAAAATCATTTTGACAGATTATCTTTAAAGATTTAAAACAGAGAATGAGGTCAAATAGTGCCTGAAAGATTTTTTATTTGATAGGTTCTAGGCTAAAAAAAATCAAAATTTAAAAAAAGCATCCATAAATATTTGAGGGGAACTGTCCTGAGAACACAACCTGAGATTCAATTATCTGCAGTTAATTATTTTTGTAGTGATGATCACAGCAATATATTCAATGGGATTTTCATAAATAACTTTTAAGAATATTAAACCTTTGAGATTTTATTTTGCCCAAATCTCCCGTGTAAAACGTTTAATATTTTCTTACTCACTCAGGCCCACAGTAAAACAAAACTGCTAAACTGTGAGTCAGAATAGACGGATGTTTCATACGGCCGGCAGAGCGGTACTCACCAAAGGGACAGTGACAATAGTAGGACTCCACACTGCTCTGGCAGGACCCGCCATTGAAGCAGGGGTTGCATTCACAGTAATTGACCGGAGATTCACACATTTTCCCTGAAAAGCATCAAACTCATTAAAAAAAACCCCTTACGCATACATATATTAACACCACCACTGCACAACCATATATAGAAATGTCTCTTGAGAGGTTATGTCTTGAAGAAGAGAAATACGAGACCATTCCACTTGACAAGAGGAAACTGGAATACTATCTCGGAGTTCAAAATCTTATTTAGCTGTCCTACTGTAAAGATACGCACCAGAGTATTTAGGAAATAATTTACCTAGACATCTTGAAAGGAACTACTGTTTTCAGGGAAATCACAAACGGTGAACATATTTAGATGTTTTCACTAAATTTTGTTTTCTCGATGTTGCTACATTTTTCACCTTATAACTGGAGAGGTGAAACTTTTTCAGGATAGTTTTCACTGTAGAGATTTTCTTGACTCAGATTTGTTGAAAGTAATAATTCTCATTTAGCTTATTTGTCAAACTACAATCCTTTCGCTCTCAAGAAATATCCCTTAAGGCCTGCCTAACTGTTGGAAAGCAGAATGGGACATAAGAAAACACATCAAATGTATTTTCAAATACTTAGCAAGATTTATTCTTGACTACAAATTATGAATACTTCGTCTTTTTTCAAAACCAATACCTAACCACCATATTTTTCAGTTTATAAAGAATTTTCTCATATAGCATCTTGTTAAGTTGAATCAACTAATTTTGACTGAGTGCCTCTCACAAACCGGGCGTGCTGGAGGGTGGGGCTGCTGTGTCAAGGTAGGGGACAAGTGTCTGAACGGGGTGGTTCCATTTTAATGGAGGAAAATGACGCAGAATAAACATTTACATTCACAGGTGGAGAAGAGGTCCTTGGAGGCTAATATAAAACCAAAGAAATGATTCAACTACAGTACAGGCCAATGTAGATCTGCTCTCATACCCAGGTTTCACAAAGTTATAACTGAATAATCATTTAGTAGGCAAAATTTAGGGTACAAGGCCGGTCCCATTTGTTTTCCTATGTAAACTTAAATGTTTTAATATCACTAAATCACTATTTGATAACTTACATATTATTAGGTGTATATTATATGTAATACAAGAGTTTCTAGTTTTCTGATCCAAGAAACAATGTGTTGTTATTGAGTTCTTAATTTCCATTCATGGACAGGAGGGTTTAATTATTTAATTAAATAGATTTTGTGTCTATAAAGCTCTTTTCTACTTCCCAGCGTGACTAATGCTTTTATTAACTGTCTTGTGAAAACATGTAAGTTTTATGCGCACATTTAGACTCAATGTTGAGCAGCAATCATCCACTTCATCATAATAGCTGCGTAACACAGTCAACGTTTTGTTTAATTTCGTTCTGTTTTTGTGGCTTGATCATGTAGCCACAGTCATTCTGGTTTGAAATGACAAGTGTGAGTCAGACCTCATGACACTGCTAACAGACATGTTCCTCTACGTCATGGGGTCATAAACACATTTTTTCTTTTATAAATAAAATTGAAAACCTCCTTACAAGGCACAACACTAACAGTTTCCGAATACCTTCCTATTCTAAGGGGAAGTAATGAAAATAAACAAGTTACCAATATAGAAGCACAGAAATTGCGTTTTAAGTGCTGCAGTGAAGTGTTACAGGGAGAAGCAGGCAGGACATGACCCTGAGCCTGTGCAAAATATCCTGCCAGAGACGCTGGGCCGCAGGACAATCCTCTCTCATGGCATTTTCCAACTGGGTTCCAGACAGATTATTCTAAAGACGGGGATTTTTTCCTGAATATCAGCATTGCCCATAGAGAATAAATAAGACCTATTGGCTATGCTTTTGATTATTTGTTTGCCATGAGGAAAGCCACAACTTATTCTACCATTTTTCCCCCTCTGTAAGAGCATATGGAATCCTCCCAGGTGTTACTGGACTCAGTGAGGTTTCAGGTTCTTTTTTAAAAAATTCTCTTAGAGTTCTGTTAAAGTAGCATGCATTTAATACACAGATTAATATACTTTATAGATGTGGTCAGTATAACCTTTATATTGTGAAAACATATGAGTGGTTACAAAATTACGGACTTCACTTTAAGAAGACTGGAAATGGGAGAACAAAGGGACACTTTAGGGGCACTGTCATTATATTTTACTCAAATATTTGGATAAAGTGTCCCTACGAAAAATATGTAAGATTATAAAAACCCAAGTCATTAATCCTATAAATTTCAACTATATCCTTCCTGGATCCTGTTTGGAAAGACTAATGTTTTGAATGTTGATTTAAACAACAACAAAATAAATTTTAAGGTTTGGGGGGGAAATTTTAAAAAATTTTCTTATTAAGCCCTTACAAGATGAGATTTTAACACAGACATCTGAGTTTAATTTAAATATCAACTAAAGGCTATTACAGTTAATCCAAAGTGAGGGGTGGAAAGAAACCCAATAATCCCAGAAATACTCTGTATCAAAACATATAGCAACTATGGAAACATCAGAAGAAGCTATAGTCTAAGAAAATATTAGTTTGAGAATGAGTTTCTCTTAAAGGTTAAAATAAGTTCCAATAGAATCTGCTTCTTTGAGTATACAACAATATTCATTGTAAGAGAAAAAAAATCAAATTTTCGTTTAATTTTTTAATTTAAAAGTGTTATATTTTCTTATTTTTCCTTGGTAGATAATTATAAAAAATGCAAATGACTTTGGTAGGAGTCAAATAAATGAGTTTATTGTTAAGTTTGGGGAAAAACAGTCTTATTTGTAGGGTGCTGGAATATGTAAATTATTTACTATGCAAAAGTTTAGTTTGAGTACTCCACTTAATTAGTAATTTTTTTTTTACAATTAGTAAATTTGAAAGGGTTGCCATACTAGAACTTGAGATTCAAAGATACAGTCTGAAAACTCAATGTAATTTAAATTATTACTTTAAAAAACCTTTATTATGTGAGGGAAAGATGTCATAATTTTACGTCAAATCAAGAGAAATCTCATAAAGGCATCTTTCTCAGGTTTGGAACATTCATGCATGCTCATTTCCCCAATTAGAAGTCAGCAACAAATTCTATATTGTTCTGCACAGGTCCACCTACTTCAGTTCTAGCGTTAACAGCATAGTGATTATAAGGGAATGCGGCAGTCTGATTTACTTTAACGTGCTTCTGGTAAAAATAATTTGATGTGTTGAGCCACCATGAAACAAAATCTTGGATCATTAACTTAATTACTGCTGCAAGTCAGCTAACAATATTTGTCAGTGCCTTGAGGCTTGAAAAAGACTGATAGGACTCGCTCAGAGAAAGGCATCCCTGTCTCTGGAATTCAAGAAGCCTTTTTCTATAAAGATATGTTAACTGTCATAGTAGCTGTTTAGAAGAATAAACTGATCCCACCACTTTGACATCCATCAGTTAACTGTGTTGATATGCATTATTTATCACAGGTAGGAGTCCTGCTTCCAGAAGTGCAAGCTCTTATAGCTCATGAGAATGGGATTTGTTGACAATGAAAATGGATAGGAGGCCAGGGTATCCAAACAATTTCCAAGATTACCGTAAACTCACTGAAGAAATTTAGCAAATGTCTTCATGTTCAGAGGTCGGTGTGACAAAGTGCTGAGCACGCAGTGAGTCTTTTGTGATCACCTATGGTCTTTTCAACAGGATGTATAATGGAGTTCCACTTGTTCTGATGGCACATTTTAATATTAGATTACGTAGAGTGAGCTAAATTTATTCTCACTTGTTAAATTCGGCCATCCTGTGGGAATATGTTGATTTCTGATATCCTGTAGTTCATGCCCAAGGGTGGGGTATTCAGCCCTCAAAATCATTTGGTCTGGCCCTGCCAAGGCTTCACCAAAGAGAAGCAGTTCCAGCCATCACATTAGGCATGAGTTAATTAAATATTTGACCAGATATAGCAGGCTAATTTTCAAGTTGATAATTTTGTCTGGACTGAAAACGATGTTATAAATATGTGAATGGCTCTTGGCAAAGTATAGGTTTCCCACCCCTGATGTAGACTTTAATTTAATATTATATACACATATATAAAATATGTTGGTATTAGGTCACCACAAGTATGTTTGCATCTCCTATATTTATACACAGAGAAGGGAGATTATGTGCAACTATCAAAGCCTATTTATATATACATTAATTTTATTAAAAATATAACTCCATAATACATATGTGCTATTTATTCTGAATATTTGTGCTTATGAGCTTTTAGTTATTTTAGCAGAAAGTAGCTGTTTTTTGCACACTATGTAAATGTTTCCTCTTATTGTAAAATGCACTAGAAAGATAGCTCATCTAAATACCCTGATCAAATAGCATTATGTTTTTTTTATATCAAAACAAAGCAAAAACATACTTAAATAGGGTTGTCAGTGAAAAAAGCAAAGAGGAAAAAACTGTTCTGCCTTTGGTGTCCTTGTATTTTAAAGCACACACCAATACCATCTCAGTGAGACCACAGGTGATTATGCATAATGACACACACAACCTCCACGAGAAGCTTACAAATACATGCTTATTTTCTGCAGAAATAAGAAGCATTTAGCTACCAGAAACCTGTTTATAATGCTTTAATAGGTCAATGTATCACTCAAGGTAAACAGTCTAATTCCCTTCTTGGAGATAAAATCAAAACAAGAATCGAGACTTTTACCCTCTCTTATCCATATGAACCACTCACTCCCCTTTATCTCACAGAAAATGTCATTTCGTATCACAACGGTTTCCTGGTCACATGGTCACTGACAACATTAATATATGACTATTGTGATTTTAAGAGAGTTACTCTTAGTTATCACTCCCATTGTCACGAATGCAAATGTTTGCCAAGTTTCACAGTAAAATGACTATGCACAAGCTGTATCTAACTTTATATATCTGGAAAAATATCCTATTTATACTGTCAGATGACATAAGAGTGATGAATGGACCAATCTCCTCCTCCCTAAAATGTCAGGGCTTGCTCACACCACAGCTAAAATGCCTCCAGATGTGTGGAAATGAGTGGGAAAGGTTAAAGGGGCTATGAACTAATTCTTTCTACCTGCTGCGTTTTATAACACCATCCTTTCCTATGAAGGACTTCATGCTAGGCCATGCTATAAACAGTGAAAACCTGAGGGCTGGAGCACAAAATGCTGGGTGGTTACTGACTATAATTGTGCTGTCTAATTAGTGTTCTGTTAAATGCAAGAAAATTTCATTTGTCTAGGGAAAGAAATACTGGACTTGTTGTTTTTTTCCTCCAGGATCCACTGAGCTTTGAGGCATGAAAAATATAAAAGGTATTTTCTTTTGATTTACTAAGGCATGTTGACAGCTGATATAATTTTTGATACTATGAAACTTTGTGAAAATCTGGAAATTAATTTCTCACGTACCCTATACTGTATTAAAATCTATTCATTTTTTCCAATTCCCTATAACTAATCAAAGCTCCATTTAGTGACAGAAAAATTAAATTATAGTAAACTTTTCTTAATAATGACACATGAAGTGATTATAACTGGATCTGAAGCCTCTACAATTTTTACAACTTCCTTTTGGTTCTTTATTCAGTAACTTAAAAAAAGATCAGAAATACAAGCTACACAAACAAATACATTCCCTCTAAATCACTCATTTATTCAAAAATATCTATTCCATATTTATTATGTGACCCTATGGTCACAAATTTGAAAATCAACTTTAAAAAACATACCTATGTATCAGAAATAAACTGGTACCAGTATAATAGTAACTATATCCCTTCATACTTTCATCCTCACAGGACGTTCTCCACATGAAATCCCTGTTCAGCGAACAATCACTCCCTGTGGGAGTCTTAGGATTAAGTCTCCTGGTCTGCATCAATTCATACACAAACCACTCACTTATCATCTTTAGCACGATTTCCAATTTCACACAAAATATGCAGTGGTATGTTTGTGTGTGTGCGCGTGTATGCATGTGTGCATGTGCATGTGCGTGTGCATGCACATGATGGGGGTTAAGGCTGAGAATTATTTTAGGCAGAAATTCTCACAGCTCCAATTCCTAATGCCACAGACTTTAAAAATCATTGAAAAAATGCAGGTGGAAATCCACTAAAGCAAATCAAGTATGAAAATATAGGTGCTTTGAAATAATCCTGATGATCCAAAAAATATCTGAATACATACAGGCTTTGAGGGAGGCTTCATTAAGGCCCTAGTACTTGGTTAATGTTAATAGACAAAATCTAGCTAAAATGAGTTTTTAAAAAATTCATTCTCTGAGGCACACGTATGGGTAAGTATGAATTTTGTCTTATGGAGCAGCATGTAAAATTAACACATAATTTCAACTGAGTTTTTGGACAGAAAGAGCTGATAATCTAGTCTTTGACAGTTTACCTTAGAGTCACCAGTGTGGGCTCAGTTTCTACAACATAAAATAGGAATAGCAGTATCTTTCTAAGCCAGACATTATCTGTTGACTCTCAGCACCATTTCTATCTTTCTGGATTACAGGGCCTGGAAGTCAGAAAACTACCCTTTCTAGACTCCCTTCCAGCCGGGCTCAGGTTTGGATTCTGCCAGTGAATTTTCCTGACCTTCACTCTTAGCCAGTTTGAAGATTTTGTAAGCTATTCCCCTGTATTATACACCATCCTACCTGAAAATCCTAAAGTAATTTCAGTTCCTGAGCAGTCTCAGACTAACATATGATCTCATGGGCTTTTTGTGAGGACCAAGTAGAGAATGCAGAGAAAATTCTTAGATGATGTCAAGGACTTGCCAGCACACCTATAGCAAGTACACATGGAAGTGTCAGGGAGAGTGGCATGCATACAAGCAGCAGAGGGTCTGGGTCAAGCTTATACCCAAAACCCAGTGAGATCATTTGTGTGCCATGCTGGAGACAAGTTATTTAATCGTTTCCGATCCCTCTAAGACCCATTTTATTTTTTGCCTGTGAGAAGGGAAAAATAATAATATCCATTTCCCAGAGTAGTGAGAACTAAATGAATAACCCAGTGAATGATAGTGTCTGTGATGCATGGAGCTTTAAGCAGTGCTTAGATAGCTGCTTGGTAAATGCTATTCATAGCTCCTAATGAAAAGAAGGGCATTCCCCAAATTTCCAACCACTACATTTAGAAAATTTTGCAAAGTACATAAAATGAAACAAGAAACAAACAAATGGGAGAGAAGCGATATGAAAGGGCGAGTTCCATGACGAGTCACGAAGTTGGCCCCATTTATGCTGAAATCTGAATACGGTGCCTTGGCTCGTGCCCATGGGACTTTCCCTGATCCCTGTCACCCATCAAATGCATTCGCACTTTCTTCATGCTAAGGCTAAGCGTAAACTCACTCTAAATCTAAGTGTGAAGGAGTCTGTTATACTAAAGTGGGACAAAGAAACAATCTTTATTGTTGAATTCCCAGCAGAAGCTGCAACTT